TGGTCTCAAACTGGGCCAGAACTGGTCTCAAACTGGGCTAGAACTGGTCTCAAACTGGGCCAGAACTGGTCTCAAACTGGGCTAGAACTGGTCTTAAACTGGGCCAGAGCTTGTCTCAAACTGGGCCAGAACTGGTCTCAAACTGGGCCAGAGCTGTTCTCAAACTGGGCCAGAGCTGTTCTCAAACCGTGCCAGAACTGTTCTCAAACCGTACCAGAACTGGTCTCAAACTGGGCGTTGCTGCTCTGACACCACAGCTGAGTGAACTCTGCCCGGGTCTGAGGCTGTAAACCCCACAGGACACACCCTGCCTCTGGAGGAACCTTTGGGTCGGTGTTCCTCTGTCCCGCCCCCCCCACTGAGCTCTCATAAGGAAGCGTGTGACGGGAACGCCTCATTTCCTCATTCAGCCGTTAGCCAGCCTGTCAGACTCTCTCAGAGCTCACAGATCGGTTCTGTTCAGGGGAAAGTTGAACTGTTTAACTGTTTCTGACAGCAGAAATGGCTCAGAAAGGAGTTCAGCTGGACACAGAGACCTTCTCCTGCTCCATCTGTCTAGATCTCCTGAAGGATCCGGTGACTATTCCCTGTGGACACAGCTACTGCATGAACTGTATTAAAGCCCACTTTGATGGAGAGGATCAGAAGAGACTTCACAGCTGCCCTCAATGCAGGGAAAGCTTCATACCGAGGCCCGTCCTGGTAAGAAACACCATGTTAGCATCTTTAGTGGAGCAACTGAAGAAGACTGGACTCCAGCCTGCTCCTGCTGACCACTGCTATGCTGGACTTGAAGATGTGGCCTGTGATTTCTGCTCTGGGAGAAAACTGAGAGCCAGCAAGTCCTGTTTGGTCTGTGTGGCCTCTTACTGTGAGGAACACCTTCAGCCTCATTATGAGTCACCTCCATTTAAGAAACACAAGCTGGTGGAGCCCTGCAAGAAGCTCCAGGAGAACATCTGCTCTGTCCATGATGAGGTGAAGAAGCTGTTCTGCCGCACTGATCAGAAGTCCATCTGTGTTGTCTGTACATTGGATGAGCATAAAGGCCACCACACAGTGTCAGCGGCAGCAGAAAGGACTGAGAGGCAGAGAGAGCTGGAGGGGAGGCGGCAACAAATCCAGCAGAGAATCCAGGACACACAGAAAGATGTGGATCTGCTCCAGCAGGAGGTGGAGGCCATCGATCAGTCTGCTGACAAAACAGTGGAGGACAGTGGGAAGATTTTCACTCAGCTTATCCGTCTCATCCAGAAAAAACGCTCTGATGTGGAGCAGCAGGTCAGATCCCAGCAGCGAACTGCAGTCAGTGGAGTCAAAGAGCTTCAGCAGAAGCTGCAGCAGGAGATCACTGAGCTGCAGAGGAAAGACGCTGAGCTGCAGAAGCTCTCACACACAGAGGACCACATCCAGTTTCTGACCAGCTGCCCCTCACTGCCAGCACTCGGGGAGTCCACACACTCATCCAGCATCAGGGTGC